AATACGAAGTTTCATATATAATATTCAATTGTATGAATATATTGATACTTTTAAAGAAAATTATAATTAAATATAGTTTTGTGAAGAAAGTACAGTACATAAAAATAACAAAAAAATATTCTTTACTTTTCAAATATTAAAACAATTCACTTTGTTAAAATTGTTCCCTACCAGTGGCCCATGGATGGAATCAGAGACAATCTTGGTAGGTGTGCAGTGCGTGAATGAAGGCCAAATTCCGAGGGTGCCGATACCGGTTAATGTCAAATGCCTCTTTTGTGGCATCACTAGTATATCTCAAAGTACCCGACAGGGTTGTTGTAAATTTTAAACGTTTCTCATCATAGCTGTAAAAATTTAAATACGTTAAACTTAATAGATTGTCCGTCTTTTGTTTTCTAACTAATTCGTTTTAGGACCAGGTGTTGTCCACGGAAATTTCCAAAATTTACGACTTTTCGGTCACTCTCGTCGAACTGGGAAAATTTCTGTCTTTATTACATCTAATACAGTATTTCGAAGAAATCAGTCCCCACTGTACTCGGCTAGAGATTGGTTCGGTTAAGCTTTTCTTTAAGTAATATTCCGGCTTTTTCAGCAGAGTTTTATTTATGTCCCCAATTCCCTAACTACTTCTTAAGTAAAAATAAGTCGAAACCAGTTACTTTCTACTCGAATATTTGTAGTCTTGGGAAAAAATAAAAAGACAAATTTTTATGACAAACGGATAACGGTAACCCCGTATAGCACTTCTATAGCACGGATTCACTCTAACACGGTTCAAGAATTGGGAACATCCCCCGTATAACACGGTGCTTTTATAGCACGGGTTCACTCTAACACGGTTCGGGAATTGGGTAAAACCTTTGTACAACACGAAATGTAATAAAGGGTGCGTTCTTTTATATCTCAGCGTAACTCTGCCTGAGCATTCCAATTGTTTTCGTGGCTACTTTGAATGCTCTTTCAACAAATAATCCATTTTTAGATTAAATTTTACAATCGGGACCCTTCTTTTGCCTCTAAAAGCTCATTTTAAAATTATAGATTCCTCCATACGATACTATCGATAGTGCGGGCGCCGCCATTTTTCTTTCACCGTCGTTCCTAAATGCCTACAAACAGCAGCGCACTCCCGTTGCAGAGCGACTGCTATTAACGAATGCACCCACAAACTGTTACCAGTTGATGATGCTCATGCTGAGATCATCATATAAAATGAATAATCCTCTGGTAAAATATTTACTTAAACAATAAATAAGTATTTTACCGATGAAAAAAAATGAATAATAAATCCGATTTAAATAAGGATTTAACATGTTTTTTTTTAATTTTTGGAACCTATCTCCCCTTTTCGCACTAGTTCTTTGTTTCGTATAACACGGATTCGCATAACACGGCAATTTTTTGGAACGTAACTCCCGTGTTATACGGGGGTTACCTGTAGATAAATCATAAATTTAAGGAAAAATTCTACAGTTTTTTCTGTATCTCGTGCATCTCTCTCATTCATTAAATTTAGTTGTAAATGATGCTGCCAAAGTAACAGTTAATTTTTTAACATTGTATAAGAAATGTACACGTTTTTTCTACATCCCCTTAAGGATGGGGCATACGAAATCGTAATATCACAGGTTTAACATTGAAATCCGTGAGTAATATAAAATAGGAGAGCGGAATAAAAATATCAAATATTTTAATGGAATTTTTTAAAACTCCTGTCAACTATATAGAATTATCATAAAAACGTACCAGTAAATTCTTACCGGTTGGGTTAGGTTATAAATCTACTCGTTATTCACGTAATCGGCCAAATATCTAGCGGGCAGGCGGCTAACAGCCCAAAATCGGTCTTGGATAGAATTGGAAGAGTTATACGTGTGTAGTTCCTCCCTCGGTCCTAGGCTTCCACCAGATAAACTGGGTGAGGTTGGAGCTCTGTAAAGCGCATGTGCAAATCTGGCTGTTTGGAAGCTGACAATACAGCGCTTCCACTCCGCCACTAATATTCGAATATACAATAGCAATTTTTTTTTTCACGTGTAGTATAGAAATTTGTAATAAGATACATAATGCGGTTATAATAAAATATTGAGAGATTATTTTCATATAATTAAAATTAATATGTATTTATTTTTTAGAAAATACAAGGGAAACGGTGGAAGCACCGCTTCCAATGACGGCACACCACTGCAGAACTTCCAGATGGAAAGCTATAATCTCGGGTTTACAGACAGCAACAAATTTCTTATGGATGATTCCATTTTCGTCCAAAAACGGCCGACTTGAACGTTGCTCATCTTCTGATTCCTTACCATTCCGAAAGCATTTAAACCAGTAGTACCAGTAGTGCACACATGTTATCCTCACGGCATTGTTCCTGTACACTTTGATCAACATTTCGTGTGTCTCCGTCGTTGTTTACCCTAATTTTGAAGCAAAACTTTATGTTGGCCGTTATTCTATTGGTTTCTAACTCCACTTCTCGCGCAGAATGTGTTCGAATAACTGCAACGGAAGCCTTCTTGCATTCACATATATTCCACTCTATGAAGCATTTCTAGGCATGTCTATGTGCATGCTCGAACTTGTCGCTTGCATATATCGTAACACTCACCAAACTTTTTAGATACGTCACGTATGGCATATTTTATTTATTAAATTATAGTTTTGTATTTTATTTAGAAATGTTCACTCAATTAGACATTTGAGATGAATTTTATAGCATATTTCATCAATAAAAATAAAACTTAAAAAATATGTAGATAAAAGTAAGATAATTAATTAGATATGAACAGAAAGAATTGATATCTTTGTGAATTTTAACAAATGTCAAAAAATAAAACTAAATGAAAAACACATATAAAAGTTGATTATAACAATAGTATTAGTGATGTTATTAGAGTCATTTGAATCATGATCAAGTATTTGATACTCTTCCTTGTTGCTGCTGCTGCTGCTACTGTTACTTTGGGTCAGGTATTCTTAATTAAATACTTTCAAATAAGATATAATTTTTTGTTTTTTATATTTTATTCTTTTTATTTGAAAAAAAAAACAAAATTATCAACTTTTTATCTAATATTTAGTTTTGCGACTCTGGAGAGGATTGCCATGAAAATGAATGCTGCGTTGCTGATATGAGTGGAATGATAACAACATGTATGCGACGGCCCAGAAAAAGTAATTATTTCATATATTTAGATATGAAAAGCTAATTTCAAAATGTCTCTTGTTCGCATTTTAAGTTTTTCGGCAGATCAAAAACAAAAAAAGTTTTTGTCTCGTAACTTTATTGAATGCAAAAATATTTGGCATTGTAATTCTTAAGACCGAAAGATTTTACTTTGCAATCATATTCACTTCTTAACAAACATTACAGAAAAATTAAATAAATTAGTTTGGACAAAGGACGATTTGATGGTAAACATGAAACAAAGGACGTTTTATTAATTAACAAGGAGAGGACAACTTCTTTTTCGCTAAATAGGAAATGACGTCGCATTTTTTTAAACAAATTCTTCTGTTTTATAAGCTTTAAACATGAAGAATGGTAACAATAATATAATTTTTATTACACGTTAAAAAAACTAAAATTGCTAAGGCTCGACCCTACATCGTGAAGCTCAATTCCTGCTGTCTTATCTACACGAATATTGCTCTTACAGTGAGAATGAAATTTCTAAAGACTTATAAGGAAAATATTCAATTTTCAGAGGCCTCTTTTTCAAAAACTCTTGAGAAGTGAGTCCTGTTAGTTGAACGGGGAGCTGTTTGTGCTAAGGGTTATGAGCTCACCAAGTTTCTTTCGAATTGGAGAACCGAACGTCTGTCCCTCTCCTTGTAAAATGAGAACAATAAATGTTATCAAAACGAATTACAGAAGACAAAACACATTTAACGGTTTATAAGACGTTCTGAAGTAAAATGAAAGTAAGAAAAAAAATAGAAAAAATCCTCAATGAATTCGAAGGAATCGATATCTCAATTTTAAAACTTGTGGACAACAGGAGACGTTTTGAAAAATATTTGATATTATTTTATGTCTATTATATATATGTGTGTGTGTGTTTATATGTTACCGCTAAAGCTCGAAAGCCATTAATGTGTACATTACCTAGCTAATCTGCACATTAACTAGGGTAATCTGTTTAAGTTGCGAAAATTATTCCATTTCTCAAATTACCTAGGTAATGTGCAGATTACCTAGATACTCTGCACATTACNAAGGTAAATTCTTTAAAATCTTATTTTATGTTTCAATGTAAATTTAATTGATGTTAAAGGTATTTACGAATATTTGAAATATTAAATGAATAGCTGTATAATTTTGTAGCGAAATTTTTAGAGTATAATACAATCGAAATAAAACCTTGTTACGTAAAAGTAACTTATGTTACTGTAAAAGCAATCTTATAAAATTTATTATAAGATGCTATAATAAATTTTTTATGTTTTAGATTTTGAATATTTGTAACATATTTAAAGAAGTTATAATGGCATTAGCAAGGCGTTATTTATAATTGGTCACTAGAAATGTACTCAAGAGACAAAGTCGTCTTAATTATAACATGTTACTTATGAAGATACCGAATATTATTTATATATTTTTAAAAAAATGATTTTTTTCTACTTAATTGTTATACAGCTTATTTTATTGTGCCAATTTTTATACAAAAAACAGCTTTTATAATATAAAATCCTCTCTTTAAAAAACTAGCACATTTATTAAATCGTATATTACTTAGATATTCAGAGCTGGTAACCACCATTTTGATTTACCAACCATTACATTTAATTACGTGCCATTGGATTCGGGTACATTCACAATAAGGAATTGGATTTTTTAACAAAAAAATTAAGTTAGCTGAAATATGTACCATAATAATAAATAATAAAAAATATGTCTCGAGTTTTCGTTTGAACTTTTGGCAATCCTAACCATAGCGGCCGTAATATTCTTTACTTTGACAGTAATTTTGTATGCATTTTAAAAAACGTCCATGAAAATATAGTTGTTGTTGAGTGAGTGGCCTTTATAAACTGTATTTGCTTTATTTTTTACATCATAAAAATTTAACACATTTTCATCCAAAATAACATAAATTTAAATTTCGTGAACAATCAAGAATTAACATATAAGTTGCCTTTTATCTAGTTTACTCAAAACAAATATTATGTGCGTAAATGTATAAAATATTCTACGTAATCGGAAAATTTTCAAACGATTATCTCCGCTAAGACTAATAACTTTCGTCTTATGTAATCCGTTTTAATCAGGAGAGAAAGAACAATTTGTTCAAAACATTTTAATCACACTTGTTATGGCAGCGATGCATTTTGCAATAGAACAAAAAAATAATCCCCTTTTCAGGCTACAAACAATGAATACAGCCGACATTTACAATTAAAAACAAATTTAAGATATAAAACAATGGTCCGAAACAATTTAAAATTCTTTACAAAACACAGTTAACATTTTTCCACAATCTAATAAGCTCTTTTCATGCATTCCTTCCCAAATTTTTCCGTATAAAAATGGAAAAGCCAATAAATTTTGTTTCGTAATCCTTCTGTAACCAAATGTTCTTACATGTACCACTTTTTTCTGCAGTCTTAACGGAGATAATCCTTTAAAAAATCTCTGCATACGTTTAATGAAAAAGTCTGCCATTGCGATTTGTCTAAATTGTTGTGTGAAAATATTCTCCGTTTTGTAATACTATTAATGAAATTTATTTCATTTATTAAATATCTGTATTAACAAATGTAATTTAATTAGCAGAAATTTAATTAATATTATGTAATAATGAGTTTAATTTGTTCATTATAAATATCAAAGTTTTAGATGGTATCTTAAACCATCAGTATCAGTCCTACATTTAATACGACACGTCCAAATTGAACTTCAACTACTGTATTAGATAATGTATAAAGTATGACATGAATTCGATTATGAATTGACGTTAGTGAATACTTCAGTAATCTCCTTTTCATCTGCTTCAAATATTTCTCTAATTACACAATAAAATTTGTACTTATGCAATTTGTAATATAATTTTAAGACTTTTAACAAATGAATTTTGTTACAAAGCTGAAAACAATGTACTTAAGTTTAAATATATCGTCGAAATTGTCGACAGCTTTATGATTAAGAACTGCTGTCACATAGTCTGAATCTGAGAAGTCAGCAAAACATGATTCCATAATGATCTTTTTTCATGCGAGGAAATGAAAATAGACCGCAGATACAAAAATGGGGAATACGGAGAGTAAGAAAACAATTACACCATAATGAGCCAAAAACTGGCGCACAAGAATTACACATTGCACTGGCATATTATACAGGAAACCCTACTTTCTAATCTAATGGAATTCTGGCAGTACACGCTATAACAAATACCTCAGAACTTTAGTGGCGTGCCGTGACATTTGATGATAGGGAAGCTGTGTTTCTGTAACAAGCCGACTTCCAAGGGCAATCAGTCAGTGATGGTCTAGGGCAGGCATGGCTAACATACGTCCATCGGGCCGGATCCGGCCAGTCTAATGAATTTATTCGGTCCTCGATTATCTTTCAATATTAGCTACTTAAGTCCGAATAGCTCGACGAAAAATTCTGACGACTAAAAAAAAACAAGGTCAAAAACTGACTATGCGTTTAGAGTTAACGCTCCATTACAAATGTCTTAAGCACAGCGTAGAATGTTGATAATGCATGATATGCATGATAATGTGAAAAAGGTATCTAATCTCTATGTACAATTTAGTTTCTACGGGTTGACACCACAATCAGATCTCGCACCACCTCAAAATCTTCCTAGGACAGCCTCTGATTCGGCCCCTGAAAAAAGTTTTCTTTCCAATTCGGCCTGGGGGCAAAAACTGTTGGCCACCCCTGGTCTAGTGTCCATTCGTATTCGTTTGTTCGATAAGCCAATAAAAACCGTAGACTTCTCTAAATGTATTTTTAATTAATAGATTATCTAATGCACTTAATAAATAAGCAAGTTTAATACAATTACCTCTGTTATTAGATTCAATAGATTCCCTATGCCCACTAAATGCCAATTCTCGCTTTGTGAAAAAAAAACATAACATTTATTAATTTAGATATAATATATCTCTTAGCCGTAATTAAGTAATATTTTCAATATTTATTTTATATTGTTTACTAATGTTAAATTCTATTTTATTTTGATTTCCAAATTGCTTCAATTTTACGAAAGAATTTCGTATTCGATGCGAGATTTACGATTTTCGTGTCTTTTGCCAGCTTTACTCAAATTTTTTAAATCGTCAAAGTCAATCTCATTCTACACACTAATTTTATTTGAAAATAGTAGGAAAGCCAACAAAACAATTTTTGCATTTTTATGCATCCACAAAGCCATTTTATATCTTCATAAATTTTATCATGAAAATGTCGAACAAATTTTTTTGTTGACGTATTTATGTTTAATTTAGGCATTGGTCTCCCTCTTTTAATAATGTTTTCTTTTTCATTATAAGGTCTCGAGCCGAAACTTTTTTGAAATAAATTTTCATTATCACAATTACATTCTAAATCGCTAGTCATAATATAAGGCTAAAATTAAAAATAAAATTATAAAAACTTACTTGGTAAAATAAAATGTGTGATGAATATACAATTATGCATACATGGTACAAAATATTCAATTGTATGAATATATTGATACTTTTAAAGAAAATTATAATTAAATATAGTTTTGTGAAGAAAGTACAGTACATAAAAATAACAAAAAAATATTCTTTACTTTTCAAATATTAAAACAATTCACTTTGTTAAAATTGTTCCCTACCAGTGGCCCATGGATGGAATCAGAGACAATCTTGGTAGGTGTGCAGTGCGTGAATGAAGGCCAAATTCCGAGGGTGCCGATACCGGTTAATGTCAAATGCCTCTTTTGTGGCATCACTAGTATATCTCAAAGTACCCGACAGGGTTGTTGTAAATTTTAAACGTTTCTCATCATAGCTGTAAAAATTTAAATACGTTAAACTTAATAGATTGTCCGTCTTTTGTTTTCTAACTAATTCGTTTTAGGACCAGGTGTTGTCCACGGAAATTTCCAAAATTTACGACTTTTCGGTCACTCTCGTCGAACTGGGAAAATTTCTGTCTTTATTACATCTAATACAGTATTTCGAAGAAATCAGTCCCCACTGTACTCGGCTATAGATTGGTTCGGTTAAGCTTTTCTTTAAGTAATATTCCGGCTTTTTCAGCAGAGTTTTATTTATGTCCCCAATTCCCTAACTACTTCTTAAGTAAAAATAAGTCGAAACCAGTTACTTTCTACTCGAATATTTGTAGTCTTGGGAAAAAATAAAAAGACAAATTTTTATGACAAACGGATAACGGTAACCCCGTATAGCACTTCTATAGCACGGATTCACTCTAACACGGTTCAAGAATTGGGAACATCCCCCGTATAACACGGTGCTTTTATAGCACGGGTTCACTCTAACACGGTTCGGGAATTGGGTAAAACCTTTGTACAACACGAAATGTAATAAAGGGTGCGTTCTTTTATATCTCAGCGTAACTCTGCCTGAGCATTCCAATTGTTTTCGTGGCTACTTTGAATGCTCTTTCAACAAATAATCCATTTTTAGGTTAAATTTTACAATCGGGACCCTTCTTTTGCCTCTAAAAGCTCATTTTAAAATTATAGATTCCTCCATACGATACTATCGATAGTGCGGGCGCCGCCATTTTTCTTTCACCGTCGTTCCTAAATGCCTACAAACAGCAGCGCACTCCCGTTGCAGAGCGACTGCTATTAACGAATGCACCCACAAACTGTTACCAGTTGATGATGCTCATGCTGAGATCATCATATAAAATGAATAATCCTCTGGTAAAATATTTACTTAAATAATAAATAAGTATTTTACCGATGAAAAAAAATGAATAATAAATCCGATTTAAATAAGGATTTAACATGTTTTTTTTTAATTTTTGGAACCTATCTCCCCTTTTCGCACTAGTTCTTTGTTTCGTATAACACGGATTCGCATAACACGGCAATTTTTTGGAACGTAACTCCCGTGTTATACGGGGGTTACCTGTAGATAAATCATAAATTTAAGGAAAAATTCTACAGTTTTTTCTGTATCTCGTGCATCTCTCTCATTCATTAAATTTAGTTGTAAATGATGCTGCCAAAGTAACAGTTAATTTTTTAACATTGTATAAGAAATGTACACGTTTTTTCTACATCCCCTTAAGGATGGGGCATACGAAATCGTAATATCACAGGTTTAACATTGAAATCCGTGAGTAATATAAAATGGGAGAGCGGAATAAAAATATCAAATATTTTAATGGAATTTTTTAAAACTCCTGTCAACTATATAGAATTATCATAAAAACGTACCAGTAAATTCTTACCGGTTGGGTTAGGTTATAAATCTACTCGTTATTCACGTAATCGGCCAAATATCTAGCGGGCAGGCGGCTAACAGCCCAAAATCGGTCTTGGATAGAATTGGAAGAGTTATACGTGTGTAGTTCCTCCCTCGGTCCTAGGCTTCCACCAGATAAACTGGGTGAGGTTGGAGCTCTGTAAAGCGCATGTGCAAATCTGGCTGTTTGGAAGCTGACAATACAGCGCTTCCACTCCGCCACTAATATTCGAATATACAATAGCAATTTTTTTTTTCACGTGTAGTATAGAAATTTGTAATAAGATACATAATGCGGTTATAATAAAATATTGAGAGATTATTTTCATATAATTAAAATTAATATGTATTTATTTTTTAGAAAATACAAGGGAAACGGTGGAAGCACCGCTTCCAATGACGGCACACCACTGCAGAACTTCCAGATGGAAAGCTATAATCTCGGGTTTACAGACAGCAACAAATTTCTTATGGATGATTCCATTTTCGTCCAAAAACGGCCGACTTGAACGTTGCTCATCTTCTGATTCCTTACCATTCCGAAAGCATTTAAACCAGTAGTACCAGTAGTGCACACATGTTATCCTCACGGCATTGTTCCTGTACACTTTGATCAACATTTCGTGTGTCTCCGTCGTTGTTTACCCTAATTTTGAAGCAAAACTTTATGTTGGCCGTTATTCTATTGGTTTCTAACTCCACTTCTCGCGCAGAATGTGTTCGAATAACTGCAACGGAAGCCTTCTTGCATTCACATATATTCCACTCTATGAAGCATTTCTAGGCATGTCTATGTGCATGCTCGAACTTGTCGCTTGCATATATCGTAACACTCACCAAACTTTTTAGATACGTCACGTATGGCATATTTTATTTATTAAATTATAGTTTTGTATTTTATTTAGAAATGTTCACTCAATTAGACATTTGAGATGAATTTTATAGCATATTTCATCAATAAAAATAAAACTTAAAAAATATGTAGATAAAAGTAAGATAATTAATTAGATATGAACAGAAAGAATTGATATCTTTGTGAATTTTAACAAATGTCAAAAAATAAAACTAAATGAAAAACACATATAAAAGTTGATTATAACAATAGTATTAGTGATGTTATTAGAGTCATTTGAATCATGATCAAGTATTTGATACTCTTCCTTGTTGCTGCTGCTGCTGCTACTGTTACTTTGGGCCAGGTATTCTTAATTAAATACTTTCAAATAAGATATAATTTTTTGTTTTTTATATTTTATTCTTTTTATTTGAAAAAAAAACAAAATTATCAACTTTTTATCTAATATTTAGTTTTGCGACTCTGGAGAGGATTGCCATGAAAATGAATGCTGCGTTGCTGATATGAGTGGAATGATAACAACATGTATGCGACGGCCCAGAAAAAGTAATTATTTCATATATTTAGATATGAAAAGCTAATTTCAAAATGTCTCTTGTTCGCATTTTAAGTTTTTCGGCAGATCAAAAACAAAAAAAGTTTTTGTCTCGTAACTTTATTGAATGCAAAAATATTTGGCATTGTAATTCTTAAGACCGAAAGATTTTACTTTGCAATCATATTCACTTCTTAACAAACATTACAGAAAAATTAAATAAATTAGTTTGGACAAAGGACGATTTGATGGTAAACATGAAACAAAGGACGTTTTATTAATTAACAAGGAGAGGACAACTTCTTTTTCGCTAAATAGGAAATGACGTCGCATTTTTTTAAACAAATTCTTCTGTTTTATAAGCTTTAAACATGAAGAATGGTAACAATAATATAATTTTTATTACACGTTAAAAAAACTAAAATTGCTAAGGCTCGACCCTACATCGTGAAGCTCAATTCCTGCTGTCTTATCTACACGAATATTGCTCTTACAGTGAGAATGAAATTTCTAAAGACTTATAAGGAAAATATTCAATTTTCAGAGGCCTCTTTTTCAAAAACTCTTGAGAAGTGAGTCCTGTTAGTTGAACGGGGAGCTGTTTGTGCTAAGGGTTATGAGCTCACCAAGTTTCTTTCGAATTGGAGAACCGAACGTCTGTCCCTCTCCTTGTAAAATGAGAACAATAAATGTTATCAAAACGAATTACAGAAGACAAAACACATTTAACGGTTTATAAGACGTTCTGAAGTAAAATGAAAGTAAGAAAAAAAATAGAAAAAATCCTCAATGAATTCGAAGGAATCGATATCTCAATTTTAAAACTTGTGGACAACAGGAGACGTTTTGAAAAATATTTGATATTATTTTATGTCTATTATATATATGTGTGTGTGTGTTTATATGTTACCGCTAAAGCTCGAAAGCCATTAATGTGTACATTACCTAGCTAATCTGCACATTAACTAGGGTAATCTGTTTAAGTTGCGAAAATTATTCCATTTCTCAAATTACCTAGGTAATGTGCAGAGTATCTAGGTAATCTGCATATTACCTACTAGGCACTCGGTAAAGTGAAAATAAGATCTTTGCTGGAACAACAGCAACGTTTCTGTACGCTTAAATTAACATAATGTTGTTTATTTAATTTTTGATATCTAAAGAATCAAGTTAATACAATCAAACAATCAACAAATTACTCGTAATTAATAGAATCAATCATCAATCAAGTAAAAATACAGAAAATCAAACGGTTTAAAATATTATTACAATTACGGAAATGGGGGTTATATAGATTACCACCTATGGAATTTTGGAACTTTGAGTATATATCTGAACTGAGGGGAACGAGAGGAGCTCAACAATACCCTACTTTTGGACCAGAAACGAAAAATAAGAAAGTTACCATACTTTTTCAGGCGATCGCATGATATAATTGTGCGTTAATGTTATCTTTGGTTACTAAAATGGCGGCTCGTCTCTGATTCCAGCAAACCGAAGAAAGGAAACAGTGGGGACGCACGTTCTAACCTAACCTAACCTATTCTAATAATTTGGTAGGTAATAATTATGGTAATTTATTAGACTAGGTTAGGTTAGGTTAGAACGTGCGTCCCCACTGTTTCCTTTCTTCTGTTTGCTGGAATCAGAGACAAGCCGCCATTTTAGTCACCATAGGTAACATTAACCAATTGTGCTTACTTATTAGTGTAGTCTAAAGATTTGTGACACTTTGAATTACATAGCAATTGGCTTTTGTGACAAGCACACCTACGTGGTACATTTATTTGTGGCAAAGATCTTATTTTCACTTTACGGAGTGCCTAGTAGGTAATGTGCAGATTACCTAGATACTCTGCACATTACCTAGATAATTTGAAAAATGAAACAATTTTCGCAACTTTAATGGATCACCCTAGTTAATCTGCAAATTAGCTGGGTGATGTACACATTAACGGCTTTCGAGCTTTAGCGGTAACATATACACTTACTTAGATAATTACTTTAGTTAAACAATTACCTCCTTTTCAGATAATTTTTGCAGCAATTTGTCAAAAATATCTAATAAAAAAAAAAATATTTATAAATATGCTTGTCCATGCCCGGCTGGAATGACCTGTAAACTCGGTAGTAGTGTAAGTTATTTTAAAATTTCAGATAATCGAGGAAATGAGTATATTAATTTTTGTAACATATTAAATAATGCCAGTATTTTCATAAAACTTAATATCTTTTTAGTTCTTTGATATGGTTTTAAAATGCAGAGAAGACAAACCAACGAAAAAACCAACAGAGAAACCAACAGAAAAACCAACAGAGAAACCAACAGAAGAACCAACAGAGAAACCAACAGAGGAACCAACAGAGGAACCAACAGAGGAACCAACAGAGGAGCCAACAGAGGAGCCAACAGAAGAACCAACAGAAGAACAAACAGAGAAGCCAACAGAGGAACAATAAGAAGAACCAGAAAATCCTTAAATGTTACTTTCAGAGGAAAGTAGCATTTATTTAGAATTTAATTAGACGTCATAAATATTTAATCACATTAATAACTATTTTAGTTACAATGTTTTCAATAAAAATTTTAAATTTTCATTAATTTCAAAATGAATTGTTTAAAATTATATTTTGTTTCATTTTAAAGTCAACTGATATTAATGGATCCATAATGAATACAGTATTTAAAATAGAAAACGAATAATTGTATGAATTTTAATGAAATTTTGTAGATTGAAATTGAAATAAAAATTGTTACGTAATTAAACTCAAATATCCAATCAACAGTTAAATTGTTCAGATTTTGAGTATTTGTAACATATTTAAAAAAAATCAAAATAGTATTAACAAGGAGTTATATATAATCGGTCAGTAGAAATATATTTCAGATACAAAGCTGTTTCAGTTACAGGAACATTATACAATGATATAATATACTCGTTAGCCTTACAAGTACTGTATAAAAAGTGATATGCATAAAATGAAACAATGATAATTATAAATTAACTAGAAATTTTCCCCATGTCTCTACTTTCACACAGAAGGTAGAGATTTTAAGAAACTCAAGAAGAGTGGATGATATTCCTACTAATTAAGTAACCTATACTGTTTTATCAGAACACAATTGATGTGTGATAATAACTTAAGCTAAACGATGTCATTGATATGAAATCGATAAAATCTTCTCTTCATAGCTAATAGCTAATATTTGCACAAATTAAGTGGCCTACACTTTCTAGTCATAACATAAAATAATATAACCAAAACTTCATCTGAAATAAACAAAAACGATAGATTTTGGTTGGACATTCATATATCATGCTTCTAAATAAAAATTATTAATAAAGATAGGATTTTAGGATGCTAAAATAGTGTTAAATCTTGAGTAAAAATTTTTGTTTAAATTGCATGATACAGTATATTTTTCACATGTCATTCATTCATTTTCATACTATACTTACATATCATCGTCGCTTGAATCACAATCATTTGTCAAAAGGATAATGGTAATCACTTCCAAATAATCAAATATAAATTGTGCTTACATGAAAGACTATCTTTGTGTGCAGAAAATGATCATTGAATCCATACCTGTCAAAACTAAGTTCTTAACTTGAGTAAGTGCAACAGAATGAGAATTTTCTACATGAGAGCAAATTCTTTGATTTCCAAAATTTCAAAATACTAGCCTTTATCCATATTAGGTGGCAGGGAAAGCAATGTTACTTCATGGTATCCAGCGACTCTCGCTGAAGCTTTCTTTAAAACTTTATCATGTCTAAAATAAACGTGTTTGCTTTGGGACTTTTAGGACGAACTGATTCACACACTACCAAATAAAGTTGCATTTATTATGTATGAAAGTGTTATTAAACGTATCGAATATAACTGGAAGTTCCTGTTGAAGCATACGTACCAGCATACGAAATTGGAGATGGGATTTCCAAGGTTAGTTGTCCACTGTAACATGTCTCAGATTCAAATTTATCAACTTTATATTTGAGCACTTAGCATGTATGGTGGCTGGTCTGTTATAAGTAACTAAACTTTTTCATATGAAATGGCAGAACACAATTTGGTACGTGAATCGTTGAAGGCCTGTATACCACTTGTGTAATTTGTCTTTTCCAATTCATAAACTCAATACCGTGGGTTGTCCTGGCTGCCTTCTTATTAGACTGATGAGAATGTTCAGCACGCGCGATTTTAGTACATTCGTTGATTCATCCGAAATGAAATACTGGGTTATTTCCTACTATTTTTGTATTTTTCGAAAGTTGCTTCGTATGCAGGTCGCACATATCTTTTCTTAGTGTAATTTGGTCGGGACAGTTGAACTTTCCAACTTTGGTCATAAATTACTTTACAGTTGACATTCGAATACGATGGACTGCAAGATGAGAAACGACGAAGTCTTACGAAGAGCTGATTGTAAGAGATCGCTAATCACTACCATAAAGTGTCGCAAAATTGCTTACCTCGGCCATGTGTTACACGGAGAAAAATACCACTATCTCCAGCTGATACTGAAAGGAAAGATTGAAAGGAAACGGAGTGCTGGTAGAAGACAGATGTCGTGGCTAAAAAACATCAATAAATAGACTGGCATACAAAGAGTTGGAGATCTCTTTAGGCTAGCGGAAGATCGTAAAGGAGTCTCCATAGTGATCGCCAACGTCCGGGGACCGGATAAGGCATCCTAAGAAGAAGAAGAAGAAGAAGAAGACATTTGACATAAATGTAGAATCGTTCTATATAAAATGGTACATAAAGCTGAACTGATACAACACAATACGTAGATTTTTCGGATTTTTTTCACATGTCAAACATGTAAACAGGGTCCATACAAAGTTCTTTCGAGACACTATCCTTGGCAAATCTCCCAAACTTTGAGTTGTTTTATCCCATCAATCCAATTCAATCCATAATACGAAGTTTCATATATTTCGCAAAATTGTTTGAAATATTTAAAATGATTCAATTACAGATTTTTTCATTAGATTTCTGCATAAAATGCATAATACCATAGACTGAAGTTTGGTCATTATGGTGTTCTTAATCCAAATCGAAGTCAGTCTGTATGTGTGAAAAAAATGAATCAAACCTCGTTCCTCATTTGATCAAAACTATTAATATAACATTTAAATTTCTAGATTCAAATTCTTAATGAGAGTTTGAAATGTGTAAGAGACAGACAAAAGGAATATTACATTTTAATATTATAAGCACCTTTATTTGCTAATTATTTCATATTTAATATATATTACAATTTTAAATATTAAATTGCACCAAGTACACATTCTTGAAACTCGATTAAGAGTTATATTGAATTATATAGAATTTTATAAAATAAACTGAATCTATATTAGTTGCAACAGTATTATTATTAACAGTAGTATCCATTATCTTCAAGCTCTCGTGCAAAGTTTTCTTTTATATTCAGTTTCCTGAAAAAAAAAATCATATTGATTCTTCTTATATAAATATTGAATAAATTTCAAATTATATATTCATACAGATGACAACAAAAAAATGTTAATACAATTAGCCTATAAGAGCCTATAAGATATTTTTAGGAATGTAATCAAATTATTACCTCTTCAGTATGAATGCAATCCAAATTTTTCTGACAAGGACAATCAATCAGATAAACTTGTTTCCCATCAACTCCGTGAAGACTTTCTTCCGAAGTTAAGCAATATGCTCCTTGAATAAATAAATAAATAAATCATCCAACTAGATCTACAATTTAAACGATAATTTAATTTGTGAAAAATATACGTTACCTAATTTCTTACGTTTACTGCAATAAGTACGTTTACTAAATAGAGGATCAAGACAACATTCATCGTCAGCGCAGTCCTCTTGAGAATTGCACCCGAAACTGAGCTACAAAATAACAAATATACTCCTTTAATTTACAAATAATAAATTACAAAACTGTCTGAATGTTATTAATTCGTTCATAAATTGCTGAAGAAATGTATAAGAAAACTATACATACTTTTACTGCAATTACAAATAATAGTAAAATCAGAAAATATTTCATGGCTTTACAACTACGCAATTAACAAGCAAGAATGAATGCTGTAACTTACGATTACGTTATAGATTATCTTTATACGTGGAAATCAAACAGATGGAACTATATATAGTGAGATTACATCTTATTTCTTACTGTCATATTACACCTGTTAAAGTCCATACATTGTTTGCAATTACAAAAGAATGTAACAAAATCATAAAGTAAATAAGTTATAATCCGATAATTTATCTGATATTTTATCACTTTCGATAGGTTTCTATCCTTAATGAAAACAGAGAAACAAAATCCATTGATCACACAATACAGATGACGGTGGTATAAATGATCTTACAATTAATAATTTATATATTTACATATATTCTATATTTTTTAATCAATTTTTTTCTTTAATTGTTTAACTATTGCATATGAAACTGATGTGTTAATAAAATATTTATAAAATGAATTTTCTGGTTCTTCTGTTGCTTCCTCTTTTTGTTCTGGTTTTTCTGTTCTCTCTTCCCGTACTTGAAAGACAAATCCAATAACTAAAACACAATATAAAGTAATGCTTTATGAAAACAATGGAAATATTCAATACGTAAGGAATATTTTCCCAGATTCCATAATGTTTTAAAGTAAATTCTAAAGTAACCATCGAGTTTACAAGTTGTTCCATCCAGACATGGGCAAGCAGCTGATTAAAAATCTTTCTTCTCATCAAATATTTTTAACCAGCGCTAAAAATTATCTTAAAAAATTAATTGTTGAAAATAATTATTATTTAATAATTATCAAAATACTGTATTATCAATTCGTTTGGGTATTAAACATAAGAGAATATGTAAAAGAGCAGAGTGAAAGTCCTGTAAATTGTATATTGTGACTTACTTTTTTCTGTTAGCTTCTCTTTGAAAATCCATCAGTGTTTTGAACAGAGATCAGTTGGAAAATAATCATAGGTCATACCTTAGAACAGTGTTTTTCAACCTGTGGGTCGCGACCCTCAGAGGGTCGCAAAGCCTTACATGGGGGTCGCAGGTAAAAGAAAAAGACAAGTGTTTGTAGGTCCTACACTACAATAAAAAAAACTACAATTTCAGTGAGAAGGCTGTACTTGTTTATTTTACAGTACAATTGATTTTTCGATCGATATTTAGGTCTCAACAGAAAGAAAATTAAATACAGTTGTCCCTCTATAGTCCTTACAATTAATCAACTTGCCCAAGATTAATCAAGTTGACCAAGATTTGAATTACTACGCAACCAATCGAATATTCGTCTCTCTTTTCTGAATCAGATCTTTACTGTAATTATTTTTAATTTTTTTTTAACCCCACCTTTAACTACACCTGTTGTGAAATTTTACTACCAAATTTTAAATTCTACACCCCACTCCTGGGACACCAGATGTGAGATCCAGCCGGGGGTACTAATCCGCTAGGAAGTTAGTATCACTTAATCGGCTCTATTCCGTGAGAATAGTTCTCGGTCGTCTTCAAGAATGGCTTTCCTATTTAATAGGAAGTCGAGTGGTGGAGGGTCTTATAGTTAAATTAGAATTCAGAGCAGAAGTTGGTGATGGCAAATTCACCTTCTTCCTTTTGTCAGGGTCCCGACACCAGTTTATCTACTTTGAGTAACGCGGATAAACACGCGTGTAATTATCTTTTAGATCTGATTCAGGAAATAATATGGAGACATCTCTTAACATTATATATAGAAAATTTAATAAACAATTAAATAATACTGATACAAATAAGAAATAATCTAAGACAATCAATCAAAGAANGGTGTTGTCCACGGAAATTTCCAAAATTTACGACTTTTCGGTCACTCTCGTCGAACTGGGAAAATTTCTGTCTTTATTACATCTAATACAGTATTTCGAAGAAATCAGTCCCCACTGTACTCGGCTAGAGATTGGTTCGGTTAAGCTTTTCTTTAAGTAATATTCCGGCTTTTTCAGCAGAGTTTTATTTATGTCCCCAATTCCCTAACTACTTCTTAAGTAAAAATAAGTCGAAACCAGTTACTTTCTACTCGAATATTTGTAGTCTTGGGAAAAAATAAAAAGACAAATTTTTATGACAAACGGATAACGGTAACCCCGTATAGCACTTCTATAGCACGGATTCACTCTAACACGGTTCAAGAATTGGGAACATCCCCCGTATAACACGGTGCTTTTATAGCACGGGTTCACTCTAACACGGTTCGGGAATTGGGTAAAACCTTTGTACAACACGAAATGTAATAAAGGGTGCGTTCTTTTATATCTCAGCGTAACTCTGCCTGAGCATTCCAATTGTTTTCGTGGCTACTTTGAATGCTCTTTCAACAAATAATCCATTTTTAGATTAAATTTTACAATCGGGACCCTTCTTTTGCCTCTAAAAGCTCATTTTAAAATTATAGATTCCTCCATACGATACTATCGATAGTGCGGGCGCCGCCATTTTTCTTTCACCGTCGTTCCTAAATGCCTACAAACAGCAGCGCACTCCCGTTGCAGAGCGACTGCTATTAACGAATGCACCCAAAAACTGTTACCAGTTGATGATGGTCATGCTGAGATCATCATATAGGATGAATAATCCTCTGGTAAAATATTTACTTAAATAATAAATAAGTATTTTACCTATGAAAAAATTAATAATAAATCCGATTTAAATGAGGATTTAACAGCGTGTTTTTTTAATTTTTGGAACTTAATCCCCCTTTTCGCACTAGTTCTTTGTTTCGTATAACACGGATTCGCATAACACGGCAATTTTTTGGAACGTAACTCCCGTGTTATACGGGGGTTACCTGTAGATAAATCATAAATTTAAGGAAAAATTCTACAGTTTTTTCTGTATCTCGTGCATCTCTCTCATTCATTAAATTTAGTTGTAAATGATGCTGCCAAAGTAACAGTTAATTTTTTAACATTGTATAAGAAATGTACACGTTTTTTCTACATCCCCTTAAGGATGGGGCATACGAAATCGTAATATCACAGGTTTAACATTGAAATCCGTGAGTAATATAAAATAGGAGAGCGGAATAAAAATATCAAATATTTTAATGGAATTTTTTAAAACTCCTGTCAACTATATAGAATTATCATAAAAACGTACCAGTAAATTCTTACCGGTTGGGTTAGGTTATAAATCTACTCGTTATTCACGTAATCGGCCAAATATCTAGCGGGCAGGCGGCTAACAGCCCAAAATCGGTCTTGGATAGAATTGGAAGAGTTATACGTGTGTAGTTCCTCCCTCGGTCCTAGGCTTCCACCAGATAAACTGGGTGAGGTTGGAGCTCTGTAAAGCGCATGTGCAAATCTGGCTGTTTGGAAGCTGACAATACAGCGCTTCCACTCCGCCACTAATATTCGAATATACAATAGCAATTTTTTTTTTCACGTGTAGTATAGAAATTTGTAATAAGATACATAATGCGGTTATAATAAAATATTGAGAGATTATTTTCATATAATTAAAATTAATATGTATTTATTTTTTAGAAAATACAAGGGAAACGGTGGAAGCACCGCTTCCAATGACGGCACACCACTGCAGAACTTCCAGATGGAAAGCTATAATCTCGGGTTTACAGACAGCAACAAATTTCTTATGGATGATTCCATTTTCGTCCAAAAACGGCCGACTTGAACGTTGCTCATCTTCTGATTCCTTACCATTCCGAAAGCATTTAAACCAGTAGTACCAGTAGTGCACACATGTTATCCTCACGGCATTGTTCCTGTACACTTTGATCAACATTTCGTGTGTCTCCGTCGTTGTTTACCCTAATTTTGAAGCAAAACTTTATGTTGGCCGTTATTCTATTGGTTTCTAACTCCACTTCTCGCGCAGAATGTGTTCGAATAACTGCAACGGAAGCCTTCTTGCATTCACATATATTCCACTCTATGAAGCATTTCTAGGCATGTCTATGTGCATGCTCGAACTTGTCGCTTGCATATATCGTAACACTCACCAAACTTTTTAGATACGTCACGTATGGCATATTTTATTTATTAAATTATAGTTTTGTATTTTATTTAGAAATGTTCACTCAATTAGACATTTGAGATGAATTTTATAGCATATTTCATCAATAAAAATAAAACTTAAAAAATATGTAGATAAAAGTAAGATAATTAATTAGATATGAACAGAAAGAATTGATATCTTTGTGAATTTTAACAAATGTCAAAAAATAAAACTAAATGAAAAACACATATAAAAGTTGATTATAACAATAGTGTTAGTGATGTTATTAGAGTCATTTGAATCATGATCAAGTATTTGATACTCTTCCTTGTTGCTGCTGCTGCTGCTACTGTTACTTTGGGTCAGGTATTCTTAATTAAATACTTTCAAATAAGATATAATTTTTTGTTTTTTATATTTTATTCTTTTTATTTGAAAAAAAAAACAAAATTATCAACTTTTTATCTAATATTTAGTATTCCGGCTTTTTCAGCA